TTTCTTTTTTACAACGGACGCTAGGATTTCTTTCATAATATTCAGGTTTTTCGGTTCGACGTACGGTCATTTGGGCGGAGTTTACAGCAAAGACGATCCTTTAGTATAGGGGTGCGTTCTTCCATGGGACATATCACTGGCTTTTTTCGATCAGCTCCCTCATCACCTTATGTCCTCCTTGTACCACTATTCAGTTGAGACTGAGTTTTTATCGCAACCAATTTGCCACGGCCCTATACGCCTCGAAAGTCTTGACTTCGTTCGTCTTTAGTCGCCATAAACAAAAGAATTCGATACAACTCATACTCACACACTTAATACCCATGACAACATTTCAAAAGAATATTTCGCAAAAAAAATGCTTTTCGATACGTATTACATATTGACAGCAAGTTTCAACGTGCTCGTTAATTTCGAAAGAAGATTATTTCCGATTTCACTCAATGTCGCCCATGATGATAATTGCCACCTGTCGTGCTCGCCCCCAATCCGCCCTACTCACAAAGTCACAATAGCATTCATACAAACAAAGAAACACCCATCAATCCCATTTTATAGGCGACTAGTCGTAAATCAACCATGCCTATTGCATCCATATCACATATATCGCAATGCTATCGAGACCAGTAATCGCTCAAAAATATTTGCATCCGGTCATGATGCACTCCCGTATTCGCAATTCTGAGACTATACGTAGTATCATTCTTGATGCAAACGGTAGTTATCATGAACACGAAATTATTCGCACAAAGCTATTCTTCTTGATAAAACAAGAACAAAGAAAAGAAAGATTGAATTAAAGAAATGAAGAAAGAAAGGTAACGTCCCGAATAGTAGAGATAAAGAGCTGACTGATATTATCATGATTTTTTGTAGGTAAACATCTGGATTCGCTACTACATTCCTTCAAGTAAGGGAATGTGGAGTGGCGTTACGCAATGATTGTATGATGTCTTACCTGAGAAAGTAAATCCCATGGTTCGCTTGAGGATTTGCATGGGTAATGGAGACACGAGCCATGGCAAAACGGGAAAGTTTCCGTCGCTCTGACATGATCTCTATATCGTGGCCTGCGAGAAAAAGGAAAATAGGTATTTGAAGGTTTTGTGTTCACGTTGTTGAGTGTGTTTATTTTCTTTATTGTTCAGCTGATTGTTGCTTTTTGTGTAGTCTTGCGTTTGATCCAAATGCAGGGTTGAATTGAATGGGGAGGATAATGCGGAGTTGAGGAGTTGCGGAGCTGAGGTGGTCTACTGGAGTAATTTGTACTGTATGACGTTGTCGCTTCGTGGGTAGATAGATGTAGATAGGTATGTAGAATCTTTAGAGATAGATAATATTATGAATGTTTCAATATACATAATTGATGCTTGGATTGTGATGTCTCTCTTTATTTGTTAATATGAATAGAATAGTAGGTCCTGATACTAGGCAGTCGGTTGGTTAGTTACATGCCTCTCCCCTTCCTTCAGATAGGATCAGGATTATTAGATTGCATTGTATTGTGTATGATTGTCTCCATACACTCACTCATGTGGTAGGTAGTCTGGTATGGATATCACATCAAACCATATCAGTACTCCGTTTCCTCTCTTTCCTCTCTTCTTCCTCTGCGTCCCCCTCCCCCCTCCCTCCCCTCACCTTTTAACCTCTGTATGATCGTATCGTCTTGTGATGGATAACATGTGGTAGATATATATTGAGTAGCGATGAATAGGTTGATGACTCTTTTCCCGTTTTCTCTTTCTCTTTTTCTTTCCTCTACTCTCTCCTCTTCTTCACTACCTCCTCCCCGTCTCTTGCTTTTGTAGTTTGAATCATTATCATGTGATGAATGAATGAATGAATGAATGAATGTAAACTAGTGGGTATGGTTTATTAATTATTAATGAGTTAGTTTCTCTTTTTCCTCTTTCTTTTTCTCTTTCTTTTTCTCTTTCTTTTTCTCTTTGTCTTTCTCTTTCTTTTCTTTTTAATTTTATCTTAATATAATTCAATCATCTTATAATTAGGCTGCGCACAAATTATCTGTACCCGTGGATTATCTGCGGATAATCCGCTCCGCGGGTTATCCGTCAGAGGTTCTACCCGCTCCGCGGATTATCTGTCAAGGCTTTAAAATTACCCGCTCCATACAGGTAACCCGCGGATTATCTGTAAATAATCTGCGGGTATATAAGTAGACGGATTATCTGCGGATTATCTGTAAATAATTCGTGGATATATAGATTCTTTGAAAAAAGTGGAGATTCGCTTAAAATATGAAGCTATTCCCAGATTATTTTCCAGCCCAAAAGTGATCCAAGCTTAGATTTATACTAATTTTTATACTAATCATAAAATTATACTAATATTATAAAAGATTATGAATAATTATACAATATACAAATAGGTGGATATTTGCGGATAATTTGTACCCGCCCCGCGGGTTACTCATTCAGATTTTTGAATTATCCGTTTCGCAAACGGATTATCCGCGTGTTACGACGGATAACAAGAACTACAGGATTAGCATCACGTGACCATAAAAGCCGACAATCGAAATCGACTTTCGACTTTCGACTTTCGAAACTCGACCATCGGCTTTCGACAATCGACTCAAGAGTTAACAGAGCAGGAAGGTCTATATAAGGGAACAGGATTTCATTACAATGTAGAGCTTCGTGCTCAAGAACAATCATTAGTTTCATTACTATAGTTACGAGAATTGCAACCAGTTACAATCTTATTGAATTCCTACTTGAAGTCTAGTCTAAACCACCTCGAGAGATCTCTAGACACTTCCACGTGACCCTAGAGGCAGCTCCCGTAACACCGCGGATTATCTGTCGAGGCCATTATCCGCCCCGCGGGTACCCGTTGTGCAGCCTACTTATAATTATAGTAAATGAATATAATTCATAACTAGGGGCCTGCGAGCCCTCGAACCCCTTGCTTTTTTAAAAGAGTATAATATTATAATCTTTATTATTATAAAAATTTAAAAAAGAAATTTATTAAATAATTATAGGCGAAGTCGGGTTACTATTGAAATTTTTTAATTTTTTTATAGATTTTTAATTTTAATTATTTGATTTTCAATTACATGTTATTATATAATATTTATAGGTTACATTTTTTTTAAAATAAATAATTATATTACTATAATATAGTTTATTATATATAAACTATATGAATATATAAACTACTACTTCGAAAATATACTGAAATTATGATTTTCTTAATATATATATATATTTAAATAATTAATTATCATTTTTTTTTATAAAAAAATTAAAAAAAATTATTTTTATCAAGAATATTCATACCATCTAAACTTTTCTTTCAAATAATTCATTTATTTATTTAAGCTCTAAATTATTACTCTTTACATTATAAAAACTGTTTTCCTCTAATAACTTTAAGAGTAATTAGAATTTTAAAAAAAGAATTAGATTTTTGAAAATAGTTGAAAAATTAGATCTTATATAAGAAAGAACCGGTAAACAACCTAGGAAAAAAGAATATCATACATACATACATACATATAGAGAGAGACAGAGATTACAATGCGATAATTCGATTCGATTCAAAGGTTTGCGTGGTTTGTAAATATTGACGCTGAGTTATTGATTTTGTTTCCTCTCTTTACTTCCTATGAGTAAGGTGAGCGAGGTGAGCAAGGTAGATGGGTGTGTATTGAAATTTGGAGATGCAGGGAAACGCGAGGAAACGCGAGGAAACGCAAGGAAACGCAAGGAAAGGGGATGAGCGGTGCGATGGGATGGGTGATGAGTAGTGAAAGAGAGGGAAGATCTGAATGTCAAGGAAGATCTACCGGTAGATAAGTATCGGTAGTCGGTCGTAGGTATATATATATACATGGCGATAAAAATAAATAAATGAACCTATTATCCCATCACAAAAATCACAGAGTCGGCGAGTGCGACGTAAAGTCTTGACATTGATTCAAATATTTATAAGATTTATCACTACGCTGTGAAACTATGCTGTGCCACTATCCTACTGCCCGCAATGCAACACTGCATGTCTCTCCATGCGACAACGCAACATAGGTATATGAGGGTATCATACGCGAAAAAGCATCCATCCATCCATTCAATGACTTCCCAAAGCAAAAGCACAAAAGGATTCCTCAATGCTCGATGCCCTACCCCATCATACACTCACCCACTCATCCCACTAAAACACTCTCTTCAAGAACAAATCCTATCTTCTCAATATTAGCATTTCTTTTTCCAAATCCGATAGTAACAGTAGACCCCATTCACACCAACGAAGAAAAAGAAAATGTAAAAAGGAAATAAAAATCAGAGATGCACAGAGTGCTCGGTTGTATCGCCATAACGAGGTTCTTGAGGCCTCTCAGTAACACGGACCAATTTTACTCATCATATTGTGTATTGTAGGGAGAGATGTGAATTGCGAATGAGTGTGGTACTTACATTGGTGAGCAATGGATATAGGCTGGATGGTAAGGCAAAAGTCGATGATATTCTATACATCAATCAAGTTGAAGTAGGCAAAAATATTTTGTCTTCAAATCAGCTACAGAAGTAGCATGAAGACACACACACAGGTTTGAAGCAGTTGATGTGATGTGGTGTAAAAATGAAGGTTGAAGAAGTTATTTATTTTCTTGAAGAGATTTTATGGTGCGGGTCGTACAATCTCGCTTCTCATTTGTCAGGCCAACGACTGACCCACTTAAACTTTTCAGACTCTACATGGCACAAAGTAAACCAACATGGTGATATTGAAAATGATTGATCCATATTGTCGTTGCCGTTGTATACATTGAAATACTTCCGGTCATGGAACTTGCAAGTCTGAGATGGATAAGAGTGAGTGGTAGGTCTTCGCGTGAGCAGTATTCAAACCACTATAAATTTGAGTCAGTATTTCGAGCACGAGACATGAAGACGATTGAAACCTACCAAAACTTCTCCCTAATTCCTCAGTCTTCAAGATATACCAAATGCTCAAATCCCAATACATAATCATTCAGGAGGAGGTTGTAAATTCTCCCACTGCGTCTTTTGATAAAAGTTCACAACCTCCTCATCCATAGCGATTTGTTCCCTAGAGTAACCCGTAACCGTGAGACCCTCCAACGTCGTTGCTCGTGATAAAGCAACATATAATTGACCCGACTCAAAAATATCCTTCCTTGATACCTCAACATGCTCCATTGTCATACCTTGACTTTTATGAATTGACAAAGCCCAGGCGAGGATAAGTGGTATTTGAGTTCTGCAAGCAAGATATCTATCTTCTGCCGTTCCCATTAAACTCTCTGATGCAACCGGTGAAATCGCTGCCGTTATCCCATTTGCAAACTTCACAACAGGTCTCCAAGAATTTTTTTCAACAAAACGTTGCATTTGCAATTGTCGCCAATCGGCATAGTCTTCGCCTTGGACATCTGCTCGCCACTCTTTCGCATTTGCGAACCCAACTATTGTTCCTTGAGAACCATTTACCAAGCCGATTTTTTGCCCTTGATTTTGAAGCAAAACTACTTTAGCACCAACCTTTAGCGTCAACTTGGGGGGAAAGCGATGATATTCCGATATGGCAATTTTATATTTCTCCGACTTAGCTTTAATCTCGAGCTGACGCAGGTAGTCGTGGTCTTGTTCAAACAGTTTACACGAATCGTCGTAGGCTTCCCAGAACTTGGCTTCTGATTGTAACAAATTCAATTGAGAATAATTGAACCTATCAACATCAAATCGTCTTGCCATGAGACGAATAGGAAAAGCGTTAGGGGGAAGCTTCTTAGGGCGAATCAAATCATGCCACTCTGCATCACTCAAGTCAACACCATTTCGTACTTTGTTTAGGAGTGCCTTGAAAGTTTCATCCTTTTGACGATGAATTTGCTCCAGCTTGACGTGTCTAAAGTTGAGCTTTCTCCACACGGGGGCATTGAATGCCCATTTGTCCCCTGGCTTAAAGGGGATATGGCAGCTCTTGCATAGGCTATTCTCACAAGTACGGTCAAAAACGCCTGACATTTCAACTCCACATACCATGCAATGCTCGAACGGTTTCACAGGAGGAATCTGATAGAAATCTCCCAGAAATATTACCTGAATACCTCCAAAAGGTTTCTTGTTTTGCTTTACTGTTTGAAAAAGTAAATTGAGGCGCTCAAGAAATTGGCTCTCCACCATTGAGATTTCTTCCAAGATTAAAACTTCAAGTTTTCGAAGCGCTTTAACTGTTCTCTTCTTTATGGTCTTATAATGAAGAAGTTTATCAAGAGGCTGTTTGAACGAATCTGGTTTCCATCCAGCAACAGAATATGTGGTTCTTCCATTCAAGGGCAGTGCCGCCAATCCAGTGGGAGCAGCAACCTGAACTTTTGGCATGTCCGGGTCGCCATCCCCCAGCTTTTCCTTTAGGCTTTCTATAATTCGTAAGAGCGTAGCTGTTTTGCCGGATCCTGCGGCACCTGTAAGAAATATGTTATCTCTGCTCATTGCCATCTGAACTACAGTATTTTGCTCTGCTGTAAGCTTGACAACAGACATGGGAAAGCTTCTACGCGTCGCCTCGATGTTGTTGAAAATATCGTCATCAGAAAGCTCAAACTCGGAATCCGGAATCTCAATATCAAGATTTGATGCTGGATTGTTATCACATTTTGCCTTCTTTAGCACTGGATCACTTTTTTCTTCGGGCAAGAGAAGATCTGTGTTCGAAGTCATACGTTCCGGACTTTCTGTGAGGTCAATAAATGTATTTGCCACATGCTGAGTATTTACTTCTCCAGCTAAAACACCAGTCTTGACGTCTGGTGAAGAACTTTTATCTTCGTATTTTCTTTTCATCCCTATATGAGCTTGTGGCTGACTATCGGTCGCGGCTTGATTTACGATCCCAGACATGTCTGTAAGATTATTCTTTAGCGTATCGTGCGGTGGGCCTTCTGTCGGCGCAAGGCCTTGTGATTCTAGCCATTCATTCCATGCTTTTTGAGCCTCGCTGTGAGTCACATAACCTCTGTAACTAGCACCAGAGAATCCGGATGTAGAAATTTCACACTGAACCCATCCATTGAGAATTCCGGTCATTCTGCCTCGGCATACTACAAAGTAGTTCTTTTTGGGTCCCTTTCTACCCATGATGGCTGGCCATACAACCGTTTGATGTAGTCGTGGATAGTTTGCAGATAACCTGTTCCCATAAGAGTTCAAGGAAGATAAGAAGGCTGGCACTTTAATCCTAGACATATAGCAGATGATCTCGCGTGCAGATGGATAAAGATCAAACGCGGCGATTGTAGAATCACTCAAATTGTAGAATATCTAAGTCCAATGGTGTCATAATAGATATGGCACATTCATGAGAACGCAATGATTTTTGAGAGAATATATATTCTCTATATTCATGCGTAGGGTAGACGTCGTAGTGGGAGGTTGGTGTCGCAAGGTTGAAATGGATATTGGATAGAGAATCGCATCGAGCAAGCAGTATCACGAGAAGGTCTAGATTATCCCAAGTTAGATGATTAATTGTCAGCAAAAGATGATAAGAATCATGACATACCATGTACGAAGAGGATGAATTGATAATCCGGTAATTCTGATATGGTTCTCGACCTTCAATCACAAATAATGCTGGCTGGTGGTATGGGTGGGTGTAGATGAATTGGGTGGTTATCAAATTGACATGAATTCCAAATTCTTTCTACGATAAAACTGATTCTGATGCATGTGTGGGTAGTCAGCCTTGTAATCTTACGAAGCCTTGTTTGACCGTTGTGAGCCTCGTCCTAATTCCGGAATAAGGTGCTAGCCTGAATAGGTATATAATGTATTATAAATACGACGCCAGGGCCCTAAGGGGTAAGGCTGGTCCAATGGTAACCATGTCCACTCTTTATAAAATCCATTTTTCTATTTCTGCAAGACTCCGGAAAGTCCGTGCCCCGAGAACACCCTGAAAATCGATTAATTTACCCCTCCCCAGCTTGTTGTCCAGCGTAGCACCTAGGCACCTAGCTAGGCACTTAGGTACCCGAGTAGAACTAGAACTGCACTGCTACCTTATTATTTTAGTCGTTGTAACGCCATTTCTCCAATCCTTTGGCGTTCCTTTGGCGTTCCCTCAACCATTCCAACATGCACAAAATATTCATCTCACACAATCCAAAATCCAAAGGAGAAAAGTCAATTGTCTATTTGGAACTCCGGTATTCAAAAGACCTTATCAAGAGTACGAAGAGGACCACAAATGATGGAAAAAGCGGGTTTTCGGATCGTCCCTTGTATCTTCGGCCTGGTGGACCTTCCTAGAGGTTCTTAGAGGTTCTTAGTATTCCAAATACTCGCAACTTATGGGGTTAAATTCCGAATTAATGTGGCTAATGAACACCGACGGCACCAATGGCAGCTCTTGTGCATATACGCTCAAGTGACGTTATGGCGGGGTGATGGAGTGAATAGTTAAGTATGGGACTTTACCCTCCTTCTCATTCTTCTTATTTCATCATTCAACTCTGCTTCAACTCTTCTTCAACTCTTCCACAACAACACATTTACCTCTACAACATCATACTATCTTTAAAACAATCAACCTTTCAATACCAAATACATAAATCGCAATCATGGTCAAGGTCGGAGATTCCATCCCAACTGTCGAGCTCGCCGAGGGCAACCCAGGCCAAAAGGTCAACATTGCTGCCGAGATTGGTGAAGGTTCTGGTATCATCATTGGTGTTCCAGCCGCTTTCAGTCCAACGTGCTCTGACTCTCACGTTCCTGGTTATATCATGCACCCAAAGCTCGGGTCCGCAGGAAAGGTCTTTGTTGTATCCGTCAACGATGCTTTCGTGTAAGAATTTCCCAACTCCGCAACTCCGACCCCACATCTTTCCACGAGGCTGAACTTGACTAACTGTCGTATGAACAGTATGAACGCATGGGGTAAATCTCTTGATGCAGACAAGAAGAGTGGTATCCGTTTCCTGGGTGATCAAGATGGAAGCTTCACTCGTGCTTGGGATCTGGAACTCGCAGCTGCTCCCATGTTGGGCACAAACCGAAGCAAGAGATATGCCATTGTTATCGAGGGTGGTAAAGTCAAGAGTGTCAACATTGAGCCAGATAACGTTGGACACACTGGTATGTTTGAAAGATCAGTCTCTACTTGAACAAATATACTAACAGCTGTCTTTTAGTCTCCGCTGCCGATAAGATTCTTGGAGAGTAAGGAAAGGATTAATGAATGGATTGGTTTTGAATAACAGCTTATATGTCATATAGACACACGGTCAAACATCGTGAGGGGAAACTTTGAGATTTAGGTTATGATAGTTACAATTGAAGAATTTTTCAAAACATATAGGAACATTTATTCATTTCAGATTTTAACGTCTTTGAAAGGGTTGAAGCTGAGGAGGGGATTAACCTTGTACGTCTGCCAACATAGCCCACGACTTCTACATTTGTGTGGCTTAACAATAACACTTAACGATAGAGTGTACCAACTCGGCGTAATATAACATATCAACATGGCTTACCTACAGCTCGTCCTTGACAACTCTCTCCTTGTTGGCGTCAGCCCCCAGTGGAATCATAAACAAGTTGTACTGTTCCATACCGGCGGTGATTGTTTTCGCCATGTAGTCCGTATTGGTGAGATAAAGACAAATAATCTCCAAGCTATGGCTCAAAGGCCTTTGGAATCTTCGTTACTCTTCACATTCGTACATGGAATACGGCTTGAATATCCGATGTGTATGCTACCTACATCTTTTTTGAATGATCTGGCCACTCGAGGGAAATCATAATGAAGAGAAGTCATTCATTGATTTCAAAGATATGATGGCTTATTGATGATATCTTTCCTTAACTTTAGTGAGCTCAAGATTTCTATCGGCCGGATGAATTTTCATGCCGGAATCTGCGAGACGAGAGAGTTGTTACAGGGAAACAGGCAGTTTCAAACCCAAATAATAAAGCTTAATAGTATCGTATAGCTGCAGACGTCCACATCGCACTTAATCTATGCAGCTATCTCCAGACGAACTCTTTATGAATAAGGTGATTCTATACGAACAGCTATATATGCAATATATTCAACGTTCTCTCGCGTTCTAGATCATTTATCGAATGCTTCTTCATCGGTGTGTACGCAAATCCTCTCTATATCCTTATCCTGGCAAGGGTTTGGATGTCACCGCAGGAGCTCGGTGTAGGGATATATGTATGTATGTATATATATGTAACTTTATATCACCCCTCAAGGTGGAAGGATGTTTTCCAGTACCTACGAGCCTATCCCTATCTACCTTTGCATGATTTGAGATTTGAGGCTGTGCCAGGATACCCGGGATACTCCTGGAGATACGCGGTAACTACCGTGTACGTCGTGAGAGTTTCCGAAGCAAGCAAACAAGCAAATGGACGGACGGACGAATAGATACGTGCCGTGCAGTACGTGTTAGGAACCTCCACTGCAGGTAAATTTGATGTTGACATGTTGATATGTTTGATATGTTTGATATGTTTGATATGTTGATATGTTGATATGTTGATATGTTGATATCGTCCCATAATCCCTTCCCCTGAATCAATATCGGATGGACCCACCCACGTGTTTTATCGGCCCGTCGCCGCTACACCTCCCTATTGGCAAGTCGAGAGCCCCGGATCGCTGAACCCTCCTTCTGGGTTCTGGTTCTGGCATTATTTCTCCGACGATGAATGTGGATCTTGATGGATACTTGGTTTCTTTCATGTTGATGGCATGTTCATTTCACTCTATTCCAGATTGTTTGGTGCGTGCTTCTGGATCTTTAATTTATTTCAAAAGGTACAAATATGTCTTGATTTCTCGTTTGGATATTGGGATTCTTCAGCTCAAAGCATCTTTCTATCTCTTTCTCTTTACTTTCAAGTTCTTGAGTAAATAAACCTTCCAAAGAAAATCATCATGCATTTCTTCACTTCCATCTTCAGCATTGCTGCTCTCAGCACTCTCGCAACCGCTACCCTCGATCCCGCGACCTCAAACACAAAGGGTTTCTATCCCAAATCTCCTGGTTGCACAGGTATATAACATTACTCCCTTCCAAAAACCGAATCAAATCAAATAACTAACCCCCCCTTCCCCCTCAGCAACCAAAGTCTCCCTCGCCATCCAAGCCGCCGAGTGTGCCTACAATACCCGCGTCGCCGGTACCCAAACCTTTGCCGTCTTCCAACAAGACCATAAATATGATTCTTCCCACGGTGCTCCTTACGGAACGTGTTCCGCTTACACGTGTACTGCGCCTACGAAATCGCAATTGACGGCGGGAACGGATTATTGGGTGTTTTATTGGGGGAATCAGGGGACCAGTAGTGGGGTGGGAACGACTTGTATCAAGAGTCCGGTGGATGGTACGTGTGGGTGTGAGAATTCGAACGGGAAGTTTGTTCATGGCGGGAAGAATTGTGTTTAAGGACGTCACATGATGGATGGCAGAGAGGGGGGGAGGGGAAGGGGAATTGAGGGGAATGTGGTCGAGGAGGTGAAGATGGAATGAGGTGTTGGCTTTGTATATATTTTACTTGATTCACGAGGTTTCCAATGGAAATTTCCATACTTACCCGATTCTCGAATCTCTCTTCTCATCTTGATACCTACCTACCTACTACCTACCTACCACCTAACCACCTATCCAAAATCACGATTCATCAAAACTAGATGTCATGTCTCACTCCTCACCTTCTCATTCGATACCCCCCCCCCTCCGGCCCCACTTCCCACCACATCATTTATCACATCATCACCCATCACCGCTAGATCAAATCGCGCATGCACGCACGCACAATAACGTGGAGTGCTAAAAAGAAGCTTTGTTGCATATCTGTAGAACACTACCTTCTTTTTAGAGGTTCTGGGATGGGGATGGGGAGGGAAGATATTGATTTATGGGGTTTAGGGGTTTCTAAGCATGAGGAAGATGGGAAGAAGGGTTTCTTGCGTGTCTGGGTGATGGTATGTTGAGAAGCGAGTTGCTTGTCTAGGGATGCTAAGCTCTATTCTCTGGAGGGGGGAGAATAACTCTTTTGTGGAGTTCTGAGATACAGTATGAATGGATTACGCTAGCTTTGAGGGGTGGTAAGGACTTTTATTGCATTTCTATAAATGCTGTCTTCCTTTCTTGTTCATCTTATTGAGGAGACTATGCGGTGATGAGTCTTGGGTTTTCTTAGGATGAAGATCTATTCCTGAATACGGATGGAGATGAAGATCCTTTGCTGTAGGGTTTGAGAAGGGAGGGTTTGTTGCATATCTGATGAATGTTACCTCGTGTCATGGACTGGCTGGATTGGGTACAGAGCGGGGATTTTGGGGATGGGAGAGAATTGTTGCATGTCTGATGAATGTTACCTTTTGTCGTGGACTGGCTGCATTGGGTAAAGAGCGGGAATGTTGGGTTTTGAGAGGTAAGATGTGGGTTGATGTGATAGATATGGGTCTTTATCCCATTCTTTGGGGATGAAGAGGAATTGTTGCATGTCTGATGAATGCTACCTTCTTCTACTTTACCCCATCTTCAAGACGAAGAAGGAAGTGTTGCACGTCTTATGAATGCTACCTTCTTTCACAAACTGTCCGCATTGGGTATGTAGAGCGGGGATTCGAGGTCCTAAGAGGTGAGAAATTTCTCAATGTGTTATATGAATCCTTCACCCCATTTTTGGGGGATGAGAAGTAATTATTGCATATCTGATGAATGCTACCTCCCATCCTTCGTCTAAACCGAGAATACCAAGCAAAATCGCGAGCCGTATTATCGACAAATCGTATCTTTCCCTCAGGGTATAACGATACAACCACCTCGATATATTCTCCCTCATCCTTTCCATATCCCAACGGCAATAAAATCTCACCCGCCTGATTACCACCACTCTTTCCCTCTCCATCTACGTCTACATCGAAGATGCCAAGTGCCAATTCCAGACACATGATATCTTGATATAATCTTACGTACCCAAGACTTCCCCATTCCTTCACAGCGCTTCCCATGATCGAGAAGGATTTGTTGCATATCTAATAAATGCTACCTTCTAGGTTTGTTTGTGTGTTTTGGGTTAGAGGGGAGAATACTGCATGGTGGAAGATCTGAGGATGATCTGTGGGATGTGGGATGACGATGGACCCGAGTCTGAAGAAATGTTGAAGAATGGGGGGGGAGGATGATGATGTTGATGATGGTAATGGTGATGACAGCAGTGAAAAGGTGGGGTGGGTGGCAGGGTGGGCGCTTAAATTTTATATTTGGGATTGAGCAAGATTTTGGAGTTTTAGCCGCTTGTGATTATGATGGCTTGGGAATTTTTCGTGGGTAGTTTGAATGATGGATGCTTGTGGTGGGTGGTAGTTAGTTTGATTGCATGATATGATGATTTTTGATGCAGAGTTTGTGTCACGGTATTTCTTCACCGCTAGTTTCGGTGCTTGGGTAGGTAGTTGAGTGGGATTGATAGTGAGATATAAGTCTTTGATGAGCATCTATCTCATGAGTATCATTTGTTTTTGTCGTTCATTTCTTCGAAAGACCAATTTCACCATTCTCTTACAGTGATTCAGGAGACTCTAAAAACATTGACTTTTTAGTTCCGGTATTCTCTTTCCAAATGCACTGTCTGCATGCGAGAACCTTTCTTGCTTTGATTATCCGATTCGCAACAAGTGTTGATTTATATAGGCAGTCCTATGTATGCAACTACTGTTGGGAAGGTTTAGAGATGATGGGTCTGGGAGGGGTAGAGAAGAATTGTGAATGATATACTACTACAGGCTTGAGTCAGTGAATCAAAAATAGTAATCACAGATTGATCAGCATCTCTTTCTTTGATTCAAGCCTCTGATTCTCCTACATAGAATCACAACAGTCTCAAGTCAAGTCTGTGCAATGAAGGTGTTCTTGATCTAGCAGCCAGTCCAAATTCGCTTTTATTTCGACATGTACCAATACCAATACCAGTACCAATACCAGTATCCCATAGTTCGTTTTGGTCGGCAATCCTTAGGCAACTAGGCACGAGTGATTTTATTTGTTCTCCAATAATGCAGTTTAGCTGTTGTTATGGAGTCTTGCTGTCACTATCATTCTGAATATGACTATGTGAATAGCTTGTATGAGTAGATGCCGAGACTTTCAACATCATATCTCAAATCCTAGAGTCCATGTAATTTTAGATCATGGATCTTTTCTGTGATGCCTTTGATCATATAGTCATTTTCTTGAGCTGCAGTTTAAAGAGTCGCTTGAAGTTGAAGATAAGATATAAATAGGTAGCTAGGCGATTTAGGGACACAATGTCAATTCGTCTTTGGGTAATATTATATTGATGATTTTCTCGTCGATTCCCCCACTATGAGTAAGCTAAAGTAAGGCGGATTCAGCTGAAAGGTTTCCACATCCATCACCAAAGTCTTTGGTAGCACTTGGTGACTTTCCAAATGATGAAATTAGTGAGTCTCGCCGCAGAAAGATCACATGGCATTATTTAAACATTCAACATCAGATTGGATCCTCACTGGGGAAACGCCTGCCACAATGAACATCATAATCTAGGGATCATGTCTGACCTCTATTATCCATGCTCTTATACCTTTCAATTTTGTACAATGTTTACACCGTTCGACAAAGATATCATAGAGTCTACTAACTTTCAAAGTTGTCAGAAGCGATCTGTTGCTGTCTACTTTCTTACTCTACCTCTCATGTAGACATGACCAATGAATCAATCAACGTCTAGATCCCGCTCACCATTCATGTCCAGCATGGTATGTCTTCTCTATACGTGTGTCTTACACATTCATTCTCCAAATCCCATTCAGTCTTTCAGGTGCTTCCTCGTATGATAATCGACATTCCTTGGGGTCTTCGAGATAGGTACCATGCCATGAGCTTTAAAGAAGCAGAAATTTGACCATTCAAAGGCAAAGGACATATCATTCTCTCTCGGTCCAGTAAAATGAATCTAATTTTACACGGTGAATCCTCTCGACTGAGATCTTTCAAGTGAACTCAATCAATGAATGTGTGAGGGGAAGTCCAAGCCCTTAAACAAAGATTCCTCATCTCATTGCATAAAGCGGACTGAGATATTCCTGACAGACCAAGCGAAAACGAAAATGGATCATAGACACTCTCGTATCGTGGGGTTAGTAACTGCATCTTACCCACCCGACTGTACTGTAGGAAACCATGGCCAAGTACAGATTCTACAGGAGTGATCGAGCGTATCATTTGTTACCGCACTTTCCCGCGGTGATCATTATCATCTTAATCTTATAATTGTTGTCGCTTATCCATTGCGTGATTGCCACTCATCTGATCTATTTTAAAATCCAGACCACATCACAGACCCAGAAGACTTAAACTCTCACGCAAGGATGGAGATATTAGACATCTCAGTAAGATATGGATGACAAATTGAAAGCTACCAGGACTCTGAATATAGGGTCTGTGTGTGCTCTATGTCAAGAGCGCATGAGAATGAAGAGTCTTCACTCTACACCTCTTAAATAGATCCTGAAGTATTAAGATGGTAGTCTGGAGTGGATCTACACTTGCGAGTGATAGTATATGAGGTAGAAAGGGCTTGGGTATTCACGGAACGTGATTACGTATCATCTGCGTGATTAACAGTTGTGAAATTCCCAGAAAACTGAGTAAGATAGTGAATTTGCAAATAGCAGTCAAAGTTTAGGCTCTCCAAGAAGTCTGATCCTCTCCGTCTGGTATTAGATGAAGCTGTTTCCACCAGAATATCTACCTTCATATCTAATCTAACAGCATCAAATCCGCTGCACTTTGCCTTTGAGATATCTTCAAACTACTGCTTGTTGAATCTGTCCGGTTGTATGCTTTACCGGCATAACCTTTTGTTACAAACATCCGATTCTCTAGTCTGAGTTGATATGTTTATTTTGTTGTCGTTGAAAGGTTTATTATATTGCATGGAAATATTTGTGATAAATGGTGTATTCATTTTTAACTGTCGTTTCTAAACAACCACTCGCGCAAGTGTTCAGAGGTAATTCGGCGGGGATGTATGGATTTCTTGGGAACGGAAGTAGTTTTTGGTGAGACAATGGGTACTTCACCATGATACCGAATCATCTTCAATCACATGTCTGCGGTTTGCAAATTGCTCATCCGGGTTGATCATCGTTAAACATGATAATAAATTTTCTAGCTGTTTGACTGCTCATTGATCTTTTCTTTTCATACCATCTCAACTCTTATACTTCCCGTCTATTAGCAGTCTGAGTTCTGGCATCTCCGATCAATTTTAGCCAACAATCCAACGCATGCATGATAGTACGGGAGTCATGGATCTTGTCTTCCTATCATGCTTGAAATTTGAGACTTATCATGGTGTTGTTGATTTACCTGGAAGAATATATAGACCTACAAGGTATATTGAGTGGGTCGTA